ATTACAACAGTTTTTTTTTTTTTTTCATTTCTTGTCTGAAATATGAGAAATACTACCAGTTTTTGTTTGGTGGAGCTGAGTTTCTGAGAACCTTCAAAGTAGTTAGCTGGTATTTTTTGGTTACTTTGTGTCTCTGGAAATCAGCGCACACATAGCAAAAACAATGTTCAGTGGGAACTGTATTTCAATGATCAAGATGGGAAATCAGACACATTTCAGGTATTGCCCATAGTGTCCTCAAGGCAAAGATATAGCTATATGCATATTTATAATTATATACAGAAAAACTTTCTCAGGTACCATGAACTCCTACTTTGCTAAAGAGACCTCTTACTCATAAGCCCCACAGAGCTCAGTAGTACCATGTAGAAAGGGGGAATTTAAGGATCAGAGAGAAGGTGAACTTTTTAATATTATTTCTTCAGATTAACACACTATAATAGTGATGCTAGAAGAACCATTGGAAGATCCAAATTTCAAGTTGGTAACAGCCTGCAAAACCACAGAACAGTCATAGCAGCAATTTCTTAAGCTTCTACAGGAAAAGGCTCCTTGTCCTAAGAAAATAAAAACTATTATTTTTAAAATCTTCTCAGGGAGTCTATCAATAAAAACAGTTGACCAACTCCAGAACTAGAGATTTAAATTTACCCACTTTTTATTACTTATTTTAGAAAATGCTTATTTCAGTTACAAATTAATCTGGGAAAGACATGGTTATGGCACAAAAATCAAGTTTTAAGTATTAGTAAAGAGTTTTGTAAATATAGGAGCTAAGTTAATATTTGCACAACAAATATCTTCAAATATAATACTTTCTAAAAAATGCTTTTAGTGCCATTTAAATCCCTAACTGGCCATGAAAAAGCCTTGTTATGACAGTTGATAATGTAAAGGGGAACAACAACAACAAAAAAGCTTGAGGCTTTAGGATTCATAGAGTGAACAGACACAATGTAATGCAGAATTAAGAAGAGAAATAAATTCCCTTTTTTCTTCTGCAATGCTAGTGATGCAATCCAGGGCCGTACACATGCTAAGCAAGTGCTTTACCACTGAGCTACATCCCTAGCCTCCATTCCCTAACTCTGAATGTACATTATATTTAAAAGATATTTAAAATATCCTGAACTGGTAGAAATCTGTTGATCTCTGCAAAAAATAGTAACCCTCTTAAATCATGCAATACTCACTACAAATATTTATTATGGTAGAGATCAGTGTATTAATGTTATAAATATCAGAATGAAAAGGTCAATAAGAATTAAAAAAAAACTTCATTCAGTAATACTTAAAGTTTAAAGGAAGTGTCAGTAATCATCATCAGCATCAGCCCAAACTGAAAAAAGACCTAAACCCCATTATAGTTATCATCATCATCATCATCATCATCTTCTTCTTCATCATCATCATTACTGGGGATGGGCCTTGCACATGCTAGGTAAGTGCACCACCATTGAGCTATACCCTAACCCACAGGTTATACTTAATAAAGAGATGTTTGAATTATATTCATAGTTCTTATTCTAGGTATTCTTATGTAAGAATCCTATGATTTATTCACTTAGTTATCCAGTAAAGACAGGGTATATCAGGAACATGCTGGCTTAGCCAGGCATGTCAGAACACTCCAGTCCAGTAACTCCAGAGTCTGAGACAGGAGGATCACAAATTCAAGGCCAGCTTTGGGCAACTGAGTGAGATCCTGTCTCAAAATTAAAAACAAAAAGGGTTGGGGATACAGCTCATCCCCCATACTGCAAAAAAAAAAATATAGAAATAAAAATAATCAAAGAAATATGCTAGCTTGGTCTCCCCCCCACCACCACCCATTTTTCTTTTCTTTTGAAACTTAAACTATGTTGTTTTTCTTTATCAATTTTTTGAGGAAAAAGTACCAAGAATAATTCAGTAAGATAATAATAAAGGGGTTGGGATTGTGGTTCAGTGGTAGAACACTTGCCTAGCACGTGTGAGGCACTGGGTTCGATCCTCAGCACCACATAAAAATAAATAAATAAAATAAAGGTAAAAAAATATAATAATATAAAACTTAGGAGAAAGTAATCATAGGAAATCTTTCAGAATTAAAAAAAAATGGATTTGAGTCCTTTGACAATAGTGAGGCTTAACATTTTGTAACCACCATAGTTGTGCTTAGGGTTAACTGATGACTGTGCTTCTAAAAACAGGGATGTAAGGAGTAACTGTGTTGTAATACTGCAGATTAAAAATCATTTGTATGTAAATATGATAGGTATAGCATCTGAATTTTAAAATAAGTTTAGAAATTTTAGAGTTTTTCTATTAAATCAAAGGAAAATTAGTGTCAGTGAAATTTCCAAACTAGTATAGAAAAAAAAGTCCAGAATCTTGGCCACAGGGAGAGGCAATTTCTATTTTTATTGCACATTTCAATGCTTAAAATGATTGGTTAAATAGAGAGCAATTCTACACTGTCAAGACTCACTAGGATCATGGATACTGTATTCTCAAATAAGAACACAATATAAGACACACTTTCATTTCTTTATAGGAATTGAAATTATTACACTAACTTGAAAAAATATCATAGGCAATGTTCTACTGCAAAATTTCACTTCTTTACAAATTAGTGGTTTTAAAGTAGGTGAATCCAATTTTACATCCTATCCATGAACTAATGGGCCAACTAGACTATGATCAATTAAACAATACTGGCATTTGCATGAACATATTGCAAATAGAATTCAGTTTCAAAATGTAAATAAACAGTTTGAGTTCTTACTCTCTTCTCCACTCCCACCTGAAATCAAACTGTGGATAAATAAGACACTTATTATTAACATTTTTATGGTAGAACTTTACTAAATAAGCATTTGCATCTACCCTGAGTCATACCTATGGTCTCTGATGACTGCAATTGCATTTTTTTTTTGGTGTGTGTGTTGGAGGCAGTGCTGGGGATCAAACCCAGGGTCTTGTCAACCACCGAGTTACATCCCCAGCTGTATTACTGCATTTTCTAAAAGGAGTAAAGATTTTTATCAGAATGCTTTTCACATTAGGATTTTCTAGCAGCCCTTCAGTCAGGATAGCTAAAGTCCTGTTGCCCTAAAGCTAAGGTACTCACTGCAACGTGATGAGTTAGAACTTCTGCATCTAGAATGGCCCTAGATATTCACCAGGCTAGGAGAATTGAGAAGAATAATTTAAATAATTTTCCAAAGGGCTGAGCTCTGCTTTCAGTATATATATGGAAATCTAGCATTTTCCAAACCTAGGCAATTAATTGTCCAGGGCATTCTAGGGCAAGAAGAACACACTAATAAATCATGTTGATTCCTATGCAGATGAGTTGCAAACATGAATCAGAGGGTTAAAAAAAAAATCACACTCTTTTCATCAGATTGTTAGTGGATCACCCTTTATGATACAAAACATAAAGTATGTTGTAGAGTATGGCCTCACATGAATCACCAGGAAATTGGTTTATAAAAAGAAATGAATTATATGGAAAAATATATGATCTTCTGCTGAATAGGGCTAAAGATGCTTGCTAACAATACTCGGTGGAAGTTGGAAGTGAAAAGTGTGAGTGGAGACAGGCTCAAATGACCATTGCTCATCAGTTTATAAACATATTGTGATCAAGACTCTATAGCAGTGTGTGCCGTACAAAAATTCTGACATCTTCAAGCTGGGCCCACACACATAAATAGCTTCCCTGTCAGGACAGCTCTCGTATGGGTGGGAAATAAGATGTATACCCCACAATCAGCACACACTTTTACACAGGCAGTAAAACCCAGACACTTTTATTTAAACTTTAGAAAGCAAACAGGCTACCCACAAAGAATAGTTAGGAAACTCAAAGTGTTTTATTTTGTACTGTTTTCTTAAAAAAAAAAGTGTAGATCATCATTGATTCATCTGTATAAATATTTCTCCTGGCAATAGTAGTTAACTTTTAACCTCCCATTCAAAAACTTCACAACTTCAAGTATTTGAAATGCACTTAAATTCCCCCCTGCTTTTATTTTCTATATTACGTTCTCATCATGATTAACTGACTCATGAAGTTGAAGAATTTCTTTTAAAAGGAAGTTCAAAAATCTTTACTAGTATGTACTAGGACAAATTAGCATTCTCTGTGTCAGTACCCATTTTAACAGTACTATTTTTCCTAAAAGATAGAAAGTGGGGGGAAAATAGGCATACCTGTTCCATTCAGAGCAAAGCACAAAATATCATTTAAAAAATAAATACCTAAGACATTCCTGCCACACTTCCATGTCCATTTCCTCAGCTGTTGAAAAATTTTCTCAAGTGGCGCTGCATCTCCACCTGCCTTCTACCAGCAACCTCTGTGGCTCTGTCTCACTGAATCTGACTCTGGAGGGTAACTGCTCTTTGTCACTTGTCATGAAGCTTGTAGTTTGATATCCTGGGCTTCACATCCAATTTCAGAAACTCAAATGACACTATATAGACTCACTCTAAATCTTTTTTTAGTGCAGTTTGGCAAATATCCCAAATGAAATTCAACTCTAAGTTAAAAGTATCAAGCAGAGATAGAGCTAAGTGTGTCTGACTTGCTGGGCTGCCCAAAGGCTCTGGTGAGGTTAGGAATAGAAAACCTAATTGTCCCTAGCTGAAGGGCTGCAGACACCTGTTGCTTTGTCACAACAGAACAGTTAACCACAGAGACAGCAGGAACCCAGAGGCCTAACAGCAATCAGGCTGCTGGGCTGCTGTGAATATCTTTAAAGGCCAACAACTGCCCTCAGCTTTGCCCCACCTCACAAACTCAGAAACGTTGGAATCATCTCCACTATAACTCAGTGTTAAGAACAGCAAGCATTAAACACGAACACCTGATAGATTCTGCTCCACATCTCCCTTCTGGGACTCCAGCGCGCTCTTATTTTCAGGCTCTTTCTACCTGCTGATTTGAACTTTGGCTTTGGTTTTGGTTTCTAGAAAAAAATGTATTATAAAGCTGTCTGGAGAGACCACCGCTAGATGGCCAAGTCACCTGGCCTGGCCCGCCCACTGCTGGCCTTGCTGGACCTTCCTGGGTCTGTAAGGAGCAAGGGAGGCTCATGCATCTCTGCTGTGGTGGTCAAGGCCTGCTCCTCTTCTTCGGGTGTCACAGCCAAGGCACTCTCTTCCAAGCTGCTGCCGCTCCGGTCCTCCAGCAGCTGGGGTGCGGTGCCCCCCTGCCCAGCCTCCGGTGGGAGCCGCTGGCTGTTGCTGCCTGCGGGGCTTGGGGCTGCGGGGCTTGGGGCTGCGGGACTGGACGCTGCGGAGGAGGCTTTCCGCGCCGGAGTCTGATGCTCAGCCGCTTGGTTGGCCCAGTTCTGCTCTGTCATCAACAGGTGTTGGTTATTGTAGAGCTTGGCAGGGTGGCCCTTCCCTTGTGACTCATTCAATGCTACCATTTTGAAGTCTGCTGCTGGTGGCGGGGCTCCGGGGTACCCTGCTTCGCCTGCCTGTCCCAGGGGAGAGGCATAATGCGTGTATAAAGGTGGGAATCCAATAGTGACAGTGGGTGGGCGGGAAGCGAGTGGCAATGGCTCTGCGGCCACCAGCTTGGATTCGGAGGTGTCTGGGCCGAAATGATCAGTCACTCCTTGTTTGAATTTTTTCCAGCCCAAGTGGTAAATCTCCAGCATGTTGAGTACAAGAGAGGCACAGGCCACCGCTAGCATGAAGATGATGAAGATGGTCTTCTCGGTGGGTCTGGAGATGAAGCAATCCACCATGTTGGGGCAGGGCCACCGGTCACATCGGTAGAGCGGCTGCAGTTGGAAGCCATACAGAAAGTATTGCCCAGCGATGAAGCCCACCTCAAAGAGCGTCTTAAAGATGATGTTGAAGACGTAGGTCCGCAGCAGCGCCCCAGCGATGCGCACCTTGCCTCGGTCATCACGCACCACAGTCTTATCCTGAGAGCCAGCCCCATCTAGAGACTCCTGACCCTGCTCAAGGTGCGGGTTTTCTCTCCTCAGCAACTCCTCCTCCCTCTCTTTCTTCTTCTCTTCCATGCGCACAATGTGCAGTACATGGCCCAGGTAGATGAGGGTGGGCGTGGACACGAAGATAATCTGCAGCACCCAGAAGCGGATGTGCGAGATGGGGAAGGCCCTGTCGTAGCACACGTTCTCGCAGCCAGGCTGCTGGGTGTTGCAGGTGAAGTCGGACTGCTCATCACCCCACACCTCCTCTGCTGCGGCCCCCAGCACCAGGATTCTGAAGATGAACAGCACCGTCAGCCAAACCTTGCCGATGACTGTGGAGTGCTCCTGTGCGTTCTCTAGTAGTCGCCCCAGAAAGCTCCAGTCACCCATTGCTTCAGATTGCTAACCTGTAAGGGAACATTGCGCATTAATACGCAGGTTAGAGTAGTTGAGCTGCAGAGGTCAACCACCCCAGGGCAATCATGATGAGTACTAGAATTGAGTCCTATCAGCTGTACTCCCACTTCCAAACATGGGTAGTGCTGGGGAACTCTCCTTAAGGATGTAGGTACACATAGTCAGCTCTTCACATCCTTAGGTTCAACCAACCTCAGATGAAAAAATAATAGGGGCGGGTGGCAGGGGGGAATTGCATCTGTCCTCAACAAGTACAAACTTCCATTCATTAATTTTTTTTTTTTTTTTTTGGTACCAGGGATTGAACCCAGGGGCAATTAATCACTGAGCTACTTCCCCAACCCTTTTTAATATTTTAACTAGAGACAGGTTCTTGTTGAGTTACGTCTCTCTCTAAATTGCTGAGGCTGGCTTTGAACTGGAGATTCTCCTGCCTCAGCCGCCTCAGCCTCCTCAGCCGCTGGGATTATAGGCATGTGCCACCATACCTGGCTGTCATTATTTCTTAATACAGTATAACAACCATTTCCACAGTATTTACACCATATCAGGTCTTCTAGAGATGGCTTAAGTATACAAAATGGTATGTGTAGATTCTATGCAATACTAAGCCATTTTATATAAGGGACATGAGCATCTGTGGACTTTAGCATCCATAGGGGTCCTGGAGTCAATAGACATTGAAGTACTGGATGTTATTTCCCTATTAACTTGTGGAACAGAATTGAATTCATATCCACAGCACTGTGCAGTAGTCACAAGTAGTAACTGCTGGCATAAACAAGATAACCATGTGTTCCACTCCTTATTTCAGAGATGAGGAAAGGAAGGCTAGAAAGAGAAATGATTCACCTGACCTCTAACTCCCCACATCTTTCTCCACAGAAGCATGGTATACCCACAGGAGCTCTGGACTCTACCTGCAGCTCAAACCAACTCCAAATCTTCACCTTTGTTTGTGTGAATTAGAGCAAATTTTTCCCAAATTGTTGTTATTCCCGTGTCACCTTCATAATATGTCATGTTGTATTGGTATTATAAGTCATGTGTCATATGTCACCTTGCCATATTAATCTACTACCATTCTTATTATTTACTTTTTTTCTTAATAGCAACTTTCTTTTTATGCTTAAATTTAGCTTAAATAGGAAACTCTACATCACTTCTCTAAAAGGAGGTACTGATACCATAAATGGAAGATAGCTTTAAATACATTGTTGACAATTGTTTGCTCTAACTTCCCCTCACAAACAACCCCTGAGTATAAACTCTTTATTTATTTAAAGAGGGAGGTCAGAAGTATTAGAGGTGTGTTAAAGATACAAAGGGGATTGGTTCCAGGATCCTGAAAGATACCAAAATCTGTGGATGCTCAAGTTTTGTATATAAAATGGCACAGTTTTTGCATTGAACCTGTACTCATCCTCTTGTATACCTTAAAACATATCTAGATGACTTATAATACCTAATAGGTGTAAATGCTATGTAAATAGTTGTTGTAATGTTTAGGGAGTAATAACTAGAAAAAAGTCTGTACATGTTCAGTATAGACCCATTTTCCCCCCTGAAATATTTCTGATCCTTGATTGGTTGAATTCACAGATGTGAAGCGCTGACTCTACTATAATCAAACTGAGACCTTCAAGACCGCTGTTAGGATGAAAACAGAATTAAGGGATTGAGTTTCTCATCATTTGATTCCATATCAATGAATATACAACCTAAAATCACCTCTCCTATTAAGTGTAATCTTTGTGGTCCCTACAGAAACTCAAGTTAGACACTTGGGCAAAGATGGATGGAGTGGTGGCTGGGTGCCAGAGGAGGTACCAGGGATAACAGGTCGTGATAATCCTTCCAGGACCAGGGCTGCAGTCCTTCAGCAAGAAGTCACCCAATAGCACTAATAGGCATCCAATGTGTCCCTAGTGCTGTGCTGGGAACTAGGGAAACACCTCCAAATGCAGCCAAGGTGCTACAGTGGAGCCAAATAAACAGGGGAAAAGCCACCAGGCCTTGGTCTTCTGGGCTGGAGAGTCAAGGGTGCTGGGCAGGGCTCATAGGTGTGACTACACCTGAGGACAGGAGAGCTGCAGGCACACTCTAGACCCCCTCAGCAAGAGTTAAGAATGTGTCTGGGAGCAGGAGCTGCCTCTCTCTGAGCCTGTGGAAAACAGGTGACAGTGATGAAGGGAGGTAAGACATGGACTGTTTTAGAAGGCAGTAGCACTCTTCAGACACAGGGGATACAGATTAGGTGTCCCATGTCATTGCTGCTCAAATAGTCTGGGCACTGTGACTGAACTAAAGAAGAGCTTCAGAGTTCTCAAAGCCACTCTTGGCAGTAAGGAAAGCCATCTCTGCTGTATGAGTATTCCTAGGTTGCCACTGGAATACATTTTAAATTTTAAAATGTTCAAAATATTAATTTTTATGATTAGGATTGAAGGCAAATAAAACTTGCTAGAAATCTGATGAATACCTGTCTTTGAATACACTTTCAACTCTTTGCTTATTCAGTCGAGATCTTTAGAGAAATCTTACTCTTCATGGACTCTACAGTCTCCTTGTCCCATATTGTGACTGGTATAACTGGCATCTTCTTCTTCTTCTTCTTTTTTTAAATATATTTTTAGTTGTCAATGGACTTTATTTATTTATTTATATGTGGTGCCGAGAATCGAACCCACAACCCCATCACCTTCATTTACTTAAAAATGCAAAAGAGAAGGCTGACAATGACATAGATTTCTCTAACCATAAAAGATGCTTTAGACATGAACCTTAATGTCAAACCAGACCTAATGATCACTTAATGATATCAAGATTTTTCTTTGTATATTTTTCTTAGTGATATCCACATGGGGTGCTTTTAGTTAACAGAAAGTTGACTCTGCCAAGAAAATTCCCACACGAGCATGCTAATGTTTGAATTTCTACTGTGAGAGTTTTGTCTCTAGTTAAAAATGTAAATACTCCAGGATAAGTCTCAGTTTGATCCTGATAAATGGGTTTGGGACTATAAGATGGGTAGCTGCCACTGGATCAAGAATGATGACTATTAATGTATATGTGGTCATGGCAGTTAACACATGACTAATTTGAGAAAAATTAATATATTATATAAATTCTATTCAATTAGTAACTGGTATCATTTTGCATATTCTTAGAAGGTAAAATATTTTACTTCTGAAACTTAATTATTATACATGAAACAACCCACTTTTGCCCATGAGGCAAAAGTCAGGGAACCATTCTAGGTGACTTCCTGCTTCTCCTCCAAGCTATAATTCTCTTAATCAGTCCTCACAGGCATCCCTAGGACAGTCACTCAGGGCCCTTAAGATTATCATGAAGGTTCCTTGCTGTGGTTTTTATGTGGTGCTAAGTGTCCCCCAAAAGTACATGCGTTTGAATCTTGGTCCCCAGGATGGTGCTACTGGAAGGTCATGGTTCTTTTAAGGGGTGGAGCCTAGTGGGAAGTCCTCTGAAGGAGGATTGTGGGGTCTCCCCCCTCTCTTTCCCCCCCCTCTCTGACTTCCTTTTAGCCATGTAAGATCCTCCTTTCACACAGATATCTTTTATTTGGTGAAAGAATCACCAGAATTGAGCTAATGCCAGTGCCATGTCCAAAACAGTGAGCTAAATTAACTACTTCATAAGTAGCCTGTGTCAGATCCTTCAATATGGTGACAAAAAGCTCACTAAGAAGCCCCCAATGGTACCTCTGCCCTTAGCCCTCCCTTCTCTGCAGTCTGCTGAGATCTTTTAACACATAGCCCTGAGCAAAGAACTGTGAAGTCTCCGACCAACACTGCATAGGACCAAACCATGGTAGCATGCAAGACCCATCAGGACTGGCCACAGCCCTAGGCACATCAAACTCCTGCAGCCTCTGAAACACCACAGTTATGGCTTCTGCACATGGTGTTTCTCTAGCCTGAAACCCATCCCCATCCAGAGCCCAGCCTGCTGAATTGTCCTTACTTCACATTCCCCTTAAAGGTGGCCAATGCAGACCTACACCACTGCCCTGGGTAATCTCTTCTCCTGACCATGCTCTCCTCTGTTTCAGGAAGTTCCCTCCATCTCCTACCCACTCAGGCTAACAACACAGGTGTCCCCTCTCTTTGCTGTCAAGGACAGCAGGGTCTCTGGTCTCCAAAGATCACTTGACTGCTGCAGGCTTGTCCTCCTTAACTCTGGTCCTGAGGGTGGAACTGGCTCATGCACCCCTCCCTCTTGACATCTGCAGCAAAACTGGAAGATGTGCATTTCTGGAGGTGTGTGAGGAGAAGATAGTGTGGATATCTAATGCTTCCAGCCACCCTCAGATGCACAAGCAGTTTTGCACTGTTTGCCACAGTGTCACCTGTTTGTTGATGTGCTCAATCCAGGGGCTGATGGGCTCCCCACCCAGCATTGGTGGCACACAGGAAGGAAGGAGACTTTGCTGTTCGTCACAGACTGGACAGAGCTGCTGGCATTTCCCTGTGGAGTCAGAGAGGCAAAAATACTCTGCAACGTTCAGAGTGACCTCACAGCAAGTAACTATCTCAGCCCAAATGTTCATTGTGTGTGTGCACCTGTTAAGGAACACAGGGCCACAAACTCCTTATTTCATTGGTAAATCAGAAGAGGAAGGAGAAGCTGACGACTTCTACAGTGTCTTATTACTATAGTGTCTTGTTACTCAGCTATTCTGGCTTCCCCCTTTCCAGGCTTTTTTCAGCCCAAGTGTTCATAGTATCCAAATATATGCCACTGGAATTGCACTGTGACCTTCTGGTGCAGCCTGTAAGAATGATGCTATCTGGATGATCTGCCTGTGCTTTGGCAGTGGTTACAGCTCATTAAATGTGAGAGATGAACAATTAAGAACATGTCTTAAGTGGGAGCATCCAGCAATATACTCTGTATGGTAATGTACAGTGGTAAGATTTTTCTGGGAAAGAATTTAGTAACATGTATGA